CCTCTAAAATCACTATTTTGCCTATAGTATTTGAATAAGTGCCTATAGAATTTGAATATTCATTAGGGAACCTTGAAGTTGTTAGAAATTCCGTCCTTATTGAGCACAGTTGTAGTCGTGCACTTTAAATATCTGCATAAAAGTGTTCTCCACCTCACCTTTGAATGTTAACGCTAAAGACGCTGCGAAACAGCTTTAATACGCCTGATGTGATTTAGTGCCTCTGCCGACGGCTCATTGTTATTCTCTGGATACACGGCCTTGTTTGTTAAAAGCCGCCGTGGATCCACACTTTGCTTGTTCTTATTACATAAAGCTTTTGCTTTAATATATCCTTCAGTACAGCACCCAAAAGTCAAAACGTTGTTATATGCATGACAAGTCTTTTTCTTTTCTTCTTTTGTAGATTTCATTCTTTCTATTTTACTGTTGAAGGTATAGACCAGTGAGCCTGTCAAACTGTCAGTAGTTATAAAAGCACTTCACAGCAATCAAATGTTAAACTAAGAGTAAGGTTAAAAAAGAAAAGGTAATTATAGGGCTGAGCAATACAATATAAAAGGTTTTTATTTATTACGTCAAGAGCAAAACTTATTTAGCTTTGTTGGTATTTGTATAACAATAGTTAGTTTGTAGTTATGTAAGTTATTTAGCTTCGCATAGATGTTTGCGCCCAGATTTCCTATCTTGTATGAATAACATTCCTACTACACTTATAAAAATCAAACGCAATATTTTGCGCCATACACATTATATTCTAAGAATTAAAAAAAAACTACTTTAAACTTTTTTGGGGGATTTTTTTTTTTTTTTTACAATTTTACATTTAGCTTAAAAAACATAAAAGCTGCACAAGCCTGCGGGGCAGAATTCTGAATGAGTTCAGCCCACGGAGCCCTTTCATCCTGCTGCGGCCTGTCTGCTCGCTGTGTGTGTGTCTGCGGCGTTGCAGCACAAAGCAGAGAAGTGACACAATGACATTGCAAACACATATCCAAAGAATCAGATAAAGACATACAACGATGGAGCGACCTGCACTCTGTACCTGCTGCTTTTTATGATACAGACGCTACAGCGTTCCACAGCTTGAGCCTCGGCAGGTTAAAGGGCGTGAAAAAGTCATGTTGTTTGACCTGGAAATTAGAACTCGCTGCACAGCCTTCTTATTGGCTGTGGGTTACAGACACACATGGGGACCACATGCTCTTTGCTGAAAAGTCCAGTACGAGGCAAAGGTTTAGGATGAAAAGATAAAGGCTAATGGTTATACTTTTCAGTGAGATGAAAGCAAATTTTGAAATTTGTGGGAATGTTTGTTTTAGGCGAATAGACTATTTGGGTTACCTTGCACTGCATCTGGATTCAACATCAAATTGGGGATCACATATTACAAGGAAATCCTTCTCAGGCTTCAAATAATGCGTTTGCGTTGGGCTCGCTAGCGCACAGAACCAATGAGCGTCCTGTGAGGGGCTACATGTAGCCATCTCTGTGTGGGCTAAACGACAATAGCGGCTCCTGAAGAGGTTACTGTAGGCGCCACAATAAAGGATCGGTTGTATCAGAACCGGAGCGTGTGTATTAATTGAAAGAAGAGCAAAGATGGATACCGAGGGCTTTTGTAGATGAAAATGTTAATGTTGCCCTTCTTGCAAGTGCAAAATGATTTATCCAATCATCCGCTAAGTGTTTTTGAAAGTGCTTTCCCTTTTCCAAACACCTTTCAATGAAAGCTTTAGTATTGCTATTTGAGAATTGTACATATATTCAAAAGCATGAAAGCGCAAGCAATAATTGATTTTCTTCCAGCCCGTAGAGGTCGTATTCAGCGGAGTTATGCTCAATGTGTTTCAATGCTATGCTACAGTACGTGTGTACCCATGAGACTAACACCTAATTCAAGAGTAAGCATTCTGTCAAATGTGTGTGTTAACAATAAACAGTTAGACGTGCAATGACAGCCCCCTTTTCCCAGAGCAGTTCACACATTTCCACCGGCGGCTGGGACTAATAAAAGGCGCCTTACTGAGATGCCCACGTCTCGCTTCATTCAGCTGCCTCCTTCAGCGGGAAGTGAGTCATTCCCTCCTGCCCCTGAGTCGGTTGTGGAGAGATGAGCTGCATGACCCAAGCGCATGATTAATTAGCCATCATTATCCCATCTCCGCTCTCCTCAGTGGGTGTTGTGCTTTTGTCCTCGCCAACCATTTGCATAGCTGGCTGCACCACCACAACGCCTTCTGATGTGACTCTGGAATATGGGAATATACAGTATGTGCAGCGGAGGTCTGGCAGCGGACGTCCGCAATTCGGATCGGTCGCTTGGCGTCTTCACCGTGAGAGGAGGAGAAGAAAAGCAGTAGGAAACGCTGCGGGTGTCATTAGACAGCTTTCAGTGTGCTGTGAGCATCTGCATCATTGTGCTCCATTTACAAAGGAGCGTATTTGTGAAAAACGACACGGCTAATTCAAGTTTTAAATTACGTATTCATCAGAAATCGTACAATGGGGCAGATTTGATAGGGGAGAGATATTTCTGTCTTCTTAAAATGTGTTTTGAAGATAAGCTAGAGCCTATTCTTTGTTAGCTGATAATAACTATAATCCTGGTTTACTAAAACAAATATTAGATTACATTTCCAGACAATGGCATTTATATTTCAAAACTTGGGGAATGCAGATGAAAAAATGAAATTACTGTCAGCCTAAATGATTGTATAGCTTTACACCGTGATTTAAAATAACAGCACTTTGCTGTTAGTGGAGCGGGAGTCAATTTAAATTCTATAAAGAGCATAATGGGAAAACACATTTAAAAAATGGGACCTTGAGAAGTTTGAAAGATTGCTTGTGTTTTCTAGCCAGATCTAGAACAATGGTCAATAATAGAAGCGTTGGCAGGAGCGGTTTTTACTTAGAATGATGGAGTGATAAAATTGAAGTGGATTAAGAACTAATGGCAGTGAAATAACCAATTCACGAACCGTTAACCCAATGTTCTTCACAACTATAGAAATAAATATTATTTTATGATATGAATGAATTTGTGCAATACACGAGAGGCCGTATTTGCAGTGTAACAAAACACAAACTACTAGAAAAGATGAGCTGAGCTGCTGATCTTGGAGTGCTCTCTGTCCAAAGAGAGATACTCGACAACTTGAATAAGTCAAAAGAGCTGTACCTTCTCCCAACACCTGCTCTGACAGCCCCACACCAGATGATTACTTTCCCTGTGGCGTGCTGCAGCCATCACACACTCCAATTACATCTGCTAATGGAGCAGCCTCCTCTCAAACCTGGCCCTCCAGCACACTGTCAGCTGTGAAGCAGCAGAGGCGAGAGAAAAGAAGCAGACAAAAAAAAAGCTGAGGTCAGGAGAGTGGTCCTTGTTGCTCTTGCTTTCAAAAAAAAGAAAATTATATTAATTATAAAATGAACCCTGTGACATGCACAATCACTTCCTGGAATCCAACCGCTCCGTTAATGGTGAAATCATCACTGAAATCACACATGGCAGAAATCTGTCGCTGCACTGGCTTGAAACTAATAACTGTGTGTTATTTGTGGACACAAACCAATCAGTGACGTGTTTTATCAATTTCCTAAAGTTCGCTATTATCGCCAACAAAGATGCGGCTAGAAGCAACAGCACAAAGCAATACACATATTTCTGACTTAATTTAACATACAGACCTAAATGAGGGAACCGACTCATTTCTTTTGTTCAAATTCAAAGTCATCAAATTGTGGATAGAAATGATTCATAAATCCATGCTGCAAAAAAGTGTGAACAGCACAAATAACCATTAGTTTCATTTAACGTCATTTGGACCATTTTCATACATGGCACTAAATCCAATAGATTTGTGGATCTCAAACTTTTTTTATTCATTTAAAAGTAGGCGTAGAGAAAGGTCTTTCCAGGACACTCTGCATTCTTAGTGCAACATGTACGCTATGTTTGTGCAGCATTTCGAGAATATAGCATCTGAATGATTGATAGGGAAGATGCACGGCGGACCTTCCTTTAAGAGTTAAGTGTAGAGCTGCTCGGCCCGTCGTGTATGAATGCAATACGGCTTTGTGAGTTACTCCAGCTATACAACGTTGATCATCGGTAGGCTGCAAGAGATCCTGTTGAGACACGCGACAGCGTTAACAGCTGTCGCAGATGATGTCCGATGGCAGTGATGCTTTCAGAGAACTGTCACGTGGAGAGTGGAGCCATTATACACCCTCTCCATCGCTCTTCTCTGATGGGGGAAAAAAAAGGTTAAAAACATCAGGCCGACACTGAGAGCTGCTGTACTGACAGACAAAAGTGAATCTATCTGCGTCCGACTCGATGGGGAGTCTTGAACAACAGCAGCCCGCTGAGCTGCATGTGAGAGCAGCTTCAATCATGTTTATTGACTAAGAGCTGTCCTCTTATTGTAAAGAGCTAGAATGGAGACTTTTGCTTTCAGTCCCTCTTCATGAATAACTTATCAATAGCTTCATGAATAACTAATCAATGAGTCTCAGTCAAAGATCAGCCAGGCATCCTGACAGAACTTAATTGGAGGAAAACCCTCCGGACTTTGCCTGATTAAAGGCAGAACTGTAAACATCACCGTACCGTCGCACCTGACTCCAGGCAGCGACAAGCAACACTTATCGACACCAAGTAAATCTTTCTCAACAATACAGCAGATCATCTGCCTGGAGAGACTTGGTGCTAAATACTACTCAGTCATTATTACTCGCTGTTGAGTGAGCTCAACGTTTCAATGTGCAAAGAGTGCAATGATGCATCATGTTTAGAAATGAGAATGTTTCTTACTTCACCCACCACTAGACCTTCAAAACGCACTGCATGCACGCCCACCGAGGTGCATTAGATTAGATTTGCAATCATACAGATGATTTCTTTGGTGTGAATGCAGAAGCATTGTGACGAAAACCGGACTACCATAATAAATCCCTTCAAACCCTTCCTGAATATATAAAATACAGCAATGGTTTCACTCTTTAATAAGTTATAATTTGCACATGAATTAAAGTTGTATGGATAACCAATAAGCCATTATTCAAGTTTGGTTAAAATATTTGAAAAAAAAAAAACAAGTGTTAACCACATTTTTAAATTTGCCTGCATGAAATCAAAAACAAATTATTAAAACCTTTTAGTAACAAAGCTGTTCAAAAATGATATCAACATGAATATGAACAGCTCATCTACTAGATATTATGAAATAGCTGTGGTCATAGAAAAACCTAAAAAATATATGTAAAAATGAAAAATCTTTATAATGATTTTGTGTATCCCGTATAAGTGGGTAATTCAGATGTCATGACCGTAGTGCAATTTTCCAGACATCCATTAAAAACCATAATTGTAAGCCGTTTGGCTGTCAGCAAGTTCTGAAAAGTGGACTTTTAGAGCTGCGGGGCTTTTGTTAGGTACCAGCAACAGCGTGGGAAGCATAAGTGCTTGGTTATGGCCAACAATGACTTATTAATGCATGCCTAAAGGCTACAGGATCTAACGGCACAGCCACAGAATTTACAAACAGTTTATGATCATGCAGAACAAGAATAAAGTTGCAGCAGCCCAAATGCACCAAACACTTACTCACTCAGAAAGTTCCTGAATATACAAAATGAATAGGTTTGGATGTAATAACTTTAAAAACATCCGTACAGGTTAAACTGTATAGATTTTTGGGAATAATAAGATATATTATAATCAATACAGAACAGAACAAAGAAAAAAACCCATTGAAATAAGCGAAGTGAATGATGTTGGTTTAGCAAAAAAATAAATATATATTTTCTTCGGGGTAATTTAATAAATACATTTCACAGTACATGGTTTACATACACATATGCGACGGAGTAACTAACAGCAATTCAGAAACTGTCAAATTGATCAAATTACTTGATAAGTCATATTGCATTGAGAAAGTGTTAGCAGACTTAAAAAAAACAAAAAAACAAGACTTGTAAGCTGCAGCAAGCCAGTTGTGAGAATATAAAGAAACATTAACGTTAACGGCTACCGGGCAGTTAATGGTCAACATTTCATTATCTCACCTCAAAGCGTTTAAAAGTGCTCTTTTCATTTCTCAGTCTGTTATGTCTGTCTCCGCTGCAGGACTGTGAGGCTGCAGCGCCACCACGTGGTCCTGGGGGGCTTACTCAGACTGCATGGGAGAAGATGTCTGCATGAGACCCACGAACACATGCTGCGACCACGCAGTGAATAATTACTTTTTATACAGAGGGAGTAAGCAAAGACCTGACCACAACAAAAAAAAACCTTTGAGACACAAACAACCGTTTGGAAATATTCCGGAGAGATAGTAAATTAGGAATTACCAGCTATTACTGTTTTAGGTAAACGAAAATAAAAGTACAGAAGACTCAATGGTTGGATCAGGGAACTTTCAGCATTTTGTTTGCACGTTTACGATCATGCACACGGCACGATTCCTATATTATATGAATATGCTGATCGCAGAAGTCTGAATCAGGTTACATGCCAGCTATAAGTAATATAGGTCAGGTAATCACAGCTGTGATTTCTATTCTCTATTTGGCAGTTTACTGAATGTGTGTGTTGTTATTTGCTTTGTTCTCCATTTATTAGCAGAGCAAGAAAGGCGTCTTGGCTGCAAGAACTTATTGCTTGAATTCCCTCTGAGTATGAAAAAGAAATACGATCAAACAACATAAAAAATTTGATCAACTATGTGAATGGCATCACCTTTTTTTTTTTACATCCAAAATGTTGCGGTCCATCAACCAGGAAAAAATAAGAAATCTTACCAAAATTCAGGTTAAGAAAACACCATGTGATGGCGATGGCGAGTTCTTTTGTGAATTGATTTTAAATAAAGCAGCAAACCCTCAAGGTTTACTAGTCCGACTCATAAGACTCATGAGCAATGAGTCATCAAGCTTTATTTGCTCATGATCACGTTGGTGGTAAGACGGCCCTGGAGTAAGACAGTAGCTGGAAGTCAGTGGTCATGAGAAGACAGTAGATTTCTGAATTTTGGTTTTGTAACTGTACACTTGCCGTGGGGTCGTTCTGAAAGTGAGCGTGCTCAGAGCAAAACACTGCATGAATATATACACTTATATACAAAAGTATGACTGATTTCAGACCTTTATTTCAACTGCACCCGTGACAGGTTGGTGGAGCAACAACATTTTCCCAATAACGGTGTTTAGTCGAGGGGTACCTCTGACACGACGGGTAACACGGTGGCCTGCTTGGATTCCTTCATCTTGTCGAGGCCGAAAAGGAGGTCCAGCTGGGTAACCGGCCGCAAGCGCCCCTCATCCAACGGTCTGGAGCGAAGGACACAAGTGGTCAGATATTTACAAAAACAATGTTCGAGTTTCATACTAAAAGGAAATGATACAATATTACAGCAATCGGAAATTAATTCCATTGAAACTTTAGAATAAAATTGACAATTATACTAAAGCAAAAAAGCTTTTCCAAAAAAGTTATTTTTTCTTTAGATGCATCACCTTTCCTACTTGGCTTTTTAAGTTAAGATGTTTCCCTCTCTGGATGATTTATTATTACCTTGTATAGACACAGCCCTTAAACATGTTCCATGATCCAAACATGACAAAGAAGGCTCCAGGTTATTTGATTCACTAAAGTTTAAAGATTTGTTCCATAATAATAATTCTGCTGCTGAACACGCTAACAACACAGGCTGACACCTAAGTGTTAAGAGTGCTGAGAACTAAAAGTTAGAAATATTTCATCTTTTAAGTTCTTTGCCCTGAGAGGGTATCAGTAGTTGCTGAGCATCGGTTCGACTCATCAGATCAGCATTGCACAAACTAGAAGATGCTTTTAAAATAAACCAGATCTAATAGCCTCCAATTCAAATTACACAGCACTTTGAAGTTGAGCAACACAGGCCTCAACCTCAAAATATTCTAGTGTGTGATTAGAATCCATGAGTACAGAAATGTTTCATAATAATCATTTAATCATTCATAAGGGGTCAGGTGTCTTGCTCAGGGACACTTTGACATGGGACATGGAGCAGCCGGGGCTCGAAACGCCAAACTTGCGGTTCCCAGCGCACCCTCTCTACTCGATGCGCCACCATCGACCCCCAGACACACACACAGACACTATTGGAATGATATCTTGTATGCGTTTGAATATATATGAGACGTACTGTTCTTCCTCCGGGCCGTCTTGGATCTGCCGAGCGATCTGCCTCATTTGCTCCTTGCGGACGTAGTCTCGGACTCGGTACATGGCAGCATCGCGGCAAAGCTCCCTGAGGTCACTGCCAGAGTAACGCTCTGTCTTCTCTGCGATCTCCTTCAGATTAATGGCATTGCTCAGCTGGGCAGAAAAGCAGGACATCAATGTGAAACAATTATGTTGAATTAATCTGTTAGCGGTCACTGGTCTTGGCTCTAGTCATAAGTGATGTGGTGCACATGAATGTCATTTGACAGTGAGAATAAAAGTGTGAAGTGATCTCAAAAAAGAGACCATTGAAGACAATCATTTCCATTATAGAGTATTAGTATCTAGAATTAAAAATAACAACATCTTACGTTTTCCCCTGCTAAAATCAGCCTCAGGATATCCTGTCTTTGTCTTGTAGTCTGCAAAGACAGAAATACATTGTTATATATATATATATATATATATATAAATAATTATCGCCCGAAGTTGGCTGGGATTGACTCCAGCCCCCCCGCGACCCTGTGTGCAGGATAAGCAGTTTGACGATGGATGGATATATAAAGAATATCAATGTGCCACCTTATGAACCAAAGTACCAGAACAACTAATCACAAGCTAAAAGTTATTATCAACACTGTCAAAACACCATTTCAACTCCATAGACATGTTATACATAACGAGTATGTGAATTTATATTTTCTGCTAAAGCATAGAAATACACATCAGCTGATGATGTTACATTGTGGTAGAGTGGGGCCTAAAATGACAAATCTTAACAAAGCAATTCTGCTTTATCTATTTCATTTCATTTAAAAATCTCATAAGAAAATGCACGTAGATAAACTTGAATTTAACAGCCTTTACACACTGTATGAAACTATGTAGATCAGTTTGCAATACATAGAAATATGTGTATATATGTGTTTGTCTGTGTGTACGTTTCTTACTGGCAGGCCAACATGAAACGTGGTGGGCATCCTGCGCAAAATGGCCGGATCCACATCCTGCGGCCTGTTTGTAGCTCCCATTACCATCACCTAAAATCACAAGTATATCAACAAGGATGCATTACACTGACCAAACCACCCTGCAGTACTAACTCTTAACACAGCACAAGAACTGTGTGTAATAGATAATATGTCCTGCATGAAGGGTCAGGCACGTCTTTTCAAATACTTTTCTGATGACGGGGGACAAGAGAAACCCCATCCAGTGTAAGCCAATATGACATATTCTGGTATGTACATCACAATACACAGGGGACCTGTGGTTGTGTTACCTGGGTGGTTGAGGAAGTATCCAAGCCGTCCCATAGGCTCATGAACTGGGCCTTCATCATGGCTGTGGCCTCGTGGTCAAGGCTGGAACGGTTCCTCAGAAAGGAGTCTAACAACGGGCAGAAACTAGGATTAATCAAATTCTCAAGGAAATGTTAAACTTTTTGTATCAAAAAAGTCCTAATATTTGTATCAGCTCAAATAATGTATTCTTAAAAGAGTAGTCAAAGATATATCTCATCTAATCTGTATTAAACATACTTTTTCAAAGTAATAGAGTAATCAAACATACCGATCTCATCAATGAAGATGATGCATGGCTGGATTTTTTTTGCCAATGAGAAGACAGCAGCCGTCAGCTTCTGTGATTCGCCGTACCACATGTCGGTCAGCGTGGAGGCCTGAAGGTTAATAAACTTGCATCCTGAGGCTTTAGCCGTTGCCTTGGCGATCATGGTCTTCCCACATCCTGGAGGACCAAACAATAAAACACCTGCAAAAATAAAGCAATAAATATAAAAATGAGTGTTTATTTCAACCTGGTGTTATGTTAGTACTAAAGGTAGTTTACATTTCTACAAAATACTATTCACCACTGTTTCATTCCATAAAAAACACCCTGGTTGAGCAACGAAATACATTTAAACGAGTTTACAGTCTATAGGCCTTGTTATTTAGATAAATTCTGACTCATGTCAACCATTACTGGCAACAGTGGGATGTATCTCGTTGAACACCTGACTCGCAGCACACTTCTAAAAATGAATATGATATAAATAAAGGCTGATGAATCAGAATGAAACTTTGATTCCCATGAAAGTTAATTTTTTGGAAGTTGACTCATTCTCAATCTTTACATAAAGTTTAGTGCCAAAACTGTTACTTCAAGTGATCATCTGCTGTCAGGCTGCGAAATTGCACAAATCTTGTCTGATGCGTTTTGGCACGTAGCTCTAGATGGAGGCATAATGCACTGCACGGCTTTCTAACAATAATTAAAGAAAGAGAGGACAGGAACCAATGTGGTTTATAACAACTTCTGATACCCGTAGTTCTAAAAAACCAGTTGGTTTGATGCTCTTCAACTCAAATTAAGGTAGACAGTTGTATTATTGTCAGTGCAGATCATATGTGTAGTTTAAGGAAAAGAATCACAAATCTGAGAATATTTTTACTCTTTACACGTTTGATGCCACTATCAAGTTGGTACTATGGAAACTACTATTGGAAACTACAACCTGGTTGTGCCTGGTTGGTTGAACCAACAGGCAGTCGGTTTAGCATAGCACAAAGAACGTCAATAATAAAGGTCTTCTGCCTCAGCGGGAGTTGACTGCGCCGGGCCAAGCAATTATCTTGCATGTAACAAACCGCAGAGGCAGACCGATTAATTACCGGCTTGCTACTGCAAGTGCTACTGCTCCTGCTTGATAATGTGTATTATTCTCCTATCATTTGTTTAAAATATTATGTTGTAAATTTGCACTGAAGTGAAATAATATAATAAAACTCTTCAATAAATTGTGTAAAAAGAACTCAAATTCCAACACAGTAGAAAACCGACTACTTACAAAAAGGGAAAATATATAAAAACACTAAATAATGTGAGAAGTCTAAGTGTAGTTTCGACTCCATTAGTACATCACACAGTACAATGGTATGGAGCGCATGTTATAAAGTCATCTAATGTACCTTGAGGATTATAAGTGCAATTTGACCCTTTTAGTTCTGATTAAATGACTGCTGCGGTACCTTTGGGAGGCTGAAAGAGTTTGGATCCAGCTAAAATATGCCTTTTCTGAAATGGCAGGATGACAGTGTCTTGCAGTTCATTGACAACCTCATCCAGACCTGCTATATCTCTCCAGGTCACCTGTGGGAAGGAAGAGTAGGGTGAAGGGGCAAATTAAAAAGGGTAAACATATTATGACAGCTGATAATCTAAATCGTCATTGGACTGCTGCGGTTACCGTCATCGTCTGGGGATCAACGAGATGAGATGCAATGTTCATCTCATACTCTGTTAGTTTGACTCCCTCAACACCAATCCTCTTCATTAGTTGTTCTGCCTGTAGAGAGGAGACCCACAACCCGGCTCAAGACACACAAGATAACCGATGTAAAAAATTCTGCTTCAGCAATTACATCCACCTCTCAACCAACTTCTGCCATATCGACAGAAGAGAATGTGCGCAATATTTAAAACATCTTAGATTCTGCAAAACAATAGCTGGCTTATGTTCAACATACCCTTTTTTTGGCTTGGCTTTTTTGTTTGGAGGTCGGGTCCATAGCGTCTAAAATCCATTTGATGCTGTAGTATGTCGCTGCGCCAAAGATGGTCAGCCTCAACAACATGCCCACCACCTCATTCCTGGTCAGCGGCCGCAACAGGGCCTGTCGTGGAAGGTCTTTCAGTAGCATCTCCACCGGCTGGTGTCAGTCCATCGGCTGGATGAAATCGTAGGGAACAGAGGAATGAAAATCAAAGAGGCGAATAAGAAAGTTTGAAACGAAATGGATTTTACATTTTGAATTGAATTCTGTGTGGTAGCATATATGATTATTATATATTACAAAATTGTATGTTGCTTTGCCATGCATTACCTTTATGATATTGTCATTAAATAAAACCAAAGAGGATTTTACCTCCACTGATTGCTTCTGGCTGCCATTCAAAACAAATAACGCGAGTGGATCGAACCAAAATACAAATGATAACAAAAGTTTATATTAGTCCGAAGAGCAGCTAAGCAATAGGTATTTAAATATGTTTTAGAGCAAGGACACCTTACATTGTGTGTAGTAACTTTAGAGAATTAAAGTAATGGTTGTACAATAACATTCTCTTCCAAAAACTAACGGAAATGTTAGCTACTATGCTAAATGAGCAGGTAATTTACATATCAACAAAGTGTCACTTTATACAGTCATAATACATTCATGGTTTACGAACGTTAACGTAGCGTCTTGCGGCATGCTAACGTTACGGCTAATGCTAACGTTCGCGAGGTTGTAACGTTAAGTAGCGAGCATAAAAGCGCCACCTCAGCATTGTAAAATATACACCGAAGGGTTGAATAAAACATTTAACACCAAATCTGAAGGCTGTCAACCAAAAGGTGATAGAAAAAACATTGATACTTACTAGAGACGCGAAGGAGCAGCCAAGTGATGGATGTGAAAAAACACTGGCGATGAAGGTGCACCATGTTTTGCGCCTCGGGCAGGAACAAGCAGTTCAGTTCCGGGGTCAGAGACATATTTCTATCAGTCAGCCACTGGATGGCGGAGTTTGCACACACATATTGTATATATCAGGACCACGGACAGCATCCACATTAGTAAAGTGTGATGAAGTATAATGAGCATATTTTTGTTTGCTGGGCATTAAATGGCCATATGGTGTTGGTGCAGTATGTATTTTATAGGGCCATTTGAAAGTAAATATTAGGAATATATTTATTTATTTAATAATTGGTATTCTAAATTGCCCGTAGGTGTGTGGATGTGAGTGTGAATGGTTGTTTGTCTCTGTGTCAGCCCTGCGATTGACTGGCGTGTACCCCGTCTCTGGCCCAATGTTAGGTGGGATTGACTCCAGCCCCCCGTGACGCTGTATGACGGATATGCAGCTTTGAAGATGGATGGATGGACGAATTCAATTGAAATAAACTTTTGAATGTTTCAGTATGTATTGAAAAATGTTCAAAACATTATTTCTTGTCATGCATTTTCTTTTCCCATCAAGGAAAGAGCATGTTATTACAATATGTCTTGGAGCAGGATATTTTGCTGGGGATGAACGCGGATCTTTTGATAAAACTTCAATTGGACACCAAAAACCCAGCATTTCATAGGGTAGGCTTCATGCAAATGTACCCCAGTCTAGTAGATAGCTCGAATCTGAAGGCCCTATCTGTTTGTTTTCCACTAATTTCAAGTGCTGACTGATGCTGGATAATTCAGTCTTCTTAACAGCAGCCTCAAAGATAAAACTGTAACAAATGGGCCTCTACAAGAAGCAATTTATCACACTTGGTCCAAAGGGTTTGTTAATTGTCAAAGATTGTATGCTGATTTAGAAAATGCTGTAACAGCTTTTTTCAGACTAGTCTCTGCTTCAGGATGTCATCTGTGACATAAATACCATTGCTGTGAAGAAACTAAAGTGTACAAGTATAAAAACAGTTAATAAAAAAGATTTAATGAATACACATGTTCCTTTTATAATTTCCCCAAAAGTCACAGCTATTGCATCAACCTGAATGCTGTACCTCATGCAAAAAAATAAACAATTACAGCTCTCATTTTAACATTCATATCACCATGGAAATGTAATATATTTTGGCCCACTTTACCGCACTTCTCTGTGAGCACAATTAACTGGATTTTGAACAATGTGCCTGAAGAATTGTCTTTTTATTTTTCCTGCTGTACAAAACCGCCAAAACCTCTCCCCGCTTGCAATCCAATTAGTGGTCCAAATTGGATGCTCAATTCCATACAGCACAATACCGACTTTTAAGCGTCCAGCTAAGTTAAATGCACCTTTGTTGTGGAAAATGGCACACGAGTAGCGCACACCTTGGACTGTGAAAATGCTTCATGAAAAGCTTTAATCCCCTTGTACTCCAGCAGCAAGTCCCGGGAGATAGCAGCCTGGCAGGGCCATTTTGATGGCTCTGGGCATTAAAGCACAGGCTTGAGTATCTGCAAAGTGCAGCACGGGCTCACAACAACCTGCACATCACCGAAACAACTGCTCTCATGGGGTGGGACCAGAAAAACACACTCAGCTCCCTTGGCTGCCTCGACCATGCCATAGCTAAAATGAAGCACTCTGCTCCCCCACCTTCACATGCCAAAGCTGCGCACTTTGGCGAAAACAGGTCGGTAACGGATTGTTTTGCAGCAAGGGATAATTATCCCTGTTGATGGGAACGCTTGTGCCATAATTTCTGATTTTAGGTCAGCCAGGTTATAATTTGCAATGATATCTTGAGTAAGTTAATATACTGTGGATATACGCATCTTTTTTACTCAAAATAGTTAAAATGTTTATCACTTCAGCGAATGTTGGCCACACACAGTTAATAATCTTTTTAATCTCTCAGGAGGAGATATTGTCTGTTGCAGAATAAATAAGTTAATTATTTATTTGCTTGTTGCTGAGAGGAACATTATTTCTGAGAACACTGAGTGCTGGAACTAGAAGGCTCATCTGAGCATTTTGAATATTAGTGGACAGTCTTTTAAAACATTTTTTTTGGAGGTTGAGTTTTCTGAAATAGACAAAAAGAGATGAAATATTTAATTAAGGTTAGAACATTTTTGGTCCTACTTTAATTTAGTTTTTATAAAACGGTGAGTTGTGACAAATTAACTGGATTTTTAGATCAGCTTTCCATAAAAATAACAAGGTCGTGAAAAAAATCGACAACACAATGCAGTTTATTCAACCACTGCCCCTCCTCTACGAAGAGTGTGCCACTCCGAATCCGAGCTGCCCTTTTGTGCCCCCTATCCGACGGCAACTATTCAAGGCAACAACATGAATGATTCATGCCTGTTGTATGACAAAAAGGCCAATCATTTGATATTGCTGATGACATGGGCATGAGCAGATGAAAGATACATTGAGTCTGTGTGAGACTTGATAGCGCTCAGCGAAAGGGTTTCACACGGTGCCGAGGCTTTCGCTGGCATCTTTCACACTTTATTCTTTATTCCAACTGTAGTCCCAGATTGACAGCTTTCCCTAATTGCTGCAGGCCCCACCATTCAGCGTCACTGTCTACAGAGGCACGGGTTAAAAATGAGTGATCATTTGTTTTTTCCTTCTCCATCTCCGGAGACAGGTGAGAAGTCTATGCATCCTCAGTGGCATCTCTATTCATGCATATAGATCAGGCCGATAAGACCTCTTGCTCTGAAGTTTGTTTGGTGAATCACTCAGGTGGAAATTAGTGATAATAAAAAGCGGCTGGTGTCATGCCATCACAGTAAGTGTTTTATTTTTTTTAAGGAACTTTTGATTTTTTTCTAGTCAAATAGGGTAAAACACCGGATGATAAAGATGCCAACTTTAGAAAGTCAGGGTATTTTAAACACTCTATTGGATTTTTTTAACAGTGGTATAGGTCCAGAGTGGTACCAAGTAAACAGGAAAAATAAGTGATGAGCAACACAAGGGAGAACAGGGTCCGTGACAGGAACAGTGACAACAGGACCAAGACCGATATTGTAACAAAATAAAGCATTAAATTACATTCGCACTCGTGTGAAATGTAAACACATTTACAGACAGCAGTTTGGGTTTCCCAGAGACTACTAGTGTTAGTGCTTGTTACTGTCATCATTTTAAAAAAATATCTTGAATTGTAGACTACATTTATGAAACCTGGAAACACTTTCAAGCTTGTGACAAAAATCTTTCTTCACAGCAAAACGAAAATTTGCTGATGTGCTCAGCTGGTGTGTTTGCACTCATATCCGCATGCTCAGAATTACAACTCAAATCTCCACTGAAATCTCCACTTAAATGTTATAGTTTCTCCAAAATTGAAAGGGTAACGCTCATGGAACATGTTTCGTGATATTTAATCAGCTCAGTTTTATGTCTATATTGGGTTATTTTATTGGGTTATTTGCCTTTAATCAATGTTCATTGTCTTTAGTGTTCGAGAGGCTGTTATAGTTATCTATGATACTTATAATGAAAAAGGCCAAGGTTACATTATTCCTTTCTGTACATTAATATTTCACGTTACCATAGTAGAGTGAACATTATTGTAGCTATCATCATTGAATGCACAAGCGGTAGTGACTTTACATTCAGATATTAAACTTACATGTAGGAACTTTAATTTCAAATCACTATTCAAACTCTGATCTCTGCTCCTTGTTCCATTTATGAAAGCTGTATATATGTGATATATTAATGACGGCAGTTCTGTCACATAGTCTGACTTCATATGCTGTTAAACACGTTAAAATCTTTGAGTCAATTCAAAAAGATTCATTTCCGACTGACCAGTGTAATAAATCCAATTTGCCAAAAACCAAACGTGAGAGGAGAGCATTAGATCATATTTAACATTTGGTGACAGAAATTCCTATAATCTATTAGCTTATATATTTAAGAATATTTAGTTGGTTTAAAGAGAAGCTCCTGTATATATTAACAATGGTAAATACTTTCTATTTACATTCAAATAAGGAAGCAAAAACAAGACTATGATTATGACATTTCAAGCCCTTGCTTTCTCTCACACTCTCATCACACTCCAACCACTCAGCTGGTGACGTAGTACCCTGAAGATTCACAGCCCGAGGCCTTGTGGGGCGCATCGGCTTCGGACCAAACTGTTTTTGAGACACTCAACCCCGAGTTGCCTCCCGTGCACTGAGGTTACGTATGTCTGTGACCAACGTGATGAAATAAAAGTTTAAGAACAGGAACAACTTCTTTCAATAATTTACTTAAAAAGCACTTATCGAATTTGACCAAATGCGCTTCACTATTTAAAGCCGTTCTCCGATGGATAACTAGTTCTCTCGGTTGTCCGAATGCAGGACAGCGGCAACAGAGGCCTCACAACGCTGAGTGCACACGTGCACCAAGGTTACGCCCTCAGCACTCACCTGAAGAGCCTGAGTCGACTCCATAATATCCACCTGGCATGAAGCACTCATGCACCCATGGAGATGAAAGTCAAGCAAACAGCCCCCTTTTCCTCACGTGGATTCTAATAAGAAAAGCCACAGGGGTGGTAGGTGATGGGAGCGTGTTTGTGTACGTGTGAGAATAACGGCAAGCGCTACGCGGGACTCGTAGCAACGGCGGTGCTCCTCTGACAAGGGAGGACGTTTGAGTTCAGAGCTTGTGAGGCTTGTCCCGTCAAGTGAAAACAATTGTCCAGTTGCAGCTCCCATTCATCAAAGTGACAGCACTTGGCCACGTGGAAATGAATGAATACATAAAGAAGAAAGAATTCAGTATGCAGATCCAGTGGAGCCTCCTGGGCAGAACTGTCAGAGGAGACTGTCAGCATGCATACGAGTCAGCAGCTGTCGTTGGCGAAACGACATTCTCCATGAATGACATGCTCATTGGAAATGGTTCTGCCCGCCCAGTCGCACCATACATGAGAAACTAACCATTTCTGGCTCCGAAAGTACAATGTAATATTCTCATTTATTGATATTCTATCATTCGCCATGCTGCTGCCGTAGCTGGCCTGTAGCTGGAAAAATAAG